GGTCATGTATCAGGGCACCACATGGCGGAGCCCTGGTTTGCTCGGTTACAAGTTGATAGTATTTGTTGAGTAAATTTTTTGTCCTTACCTTTTTCTCTGTTTTCTTGATTTTACACATCAAATATATGCTATATGGGAGGAGGGAGAAGGGAAGAAAACTTGAAAAGTAAATGACCTTTTATGTAAGGTAGGTTCATTTTGCAAGTCAGATCTGATAGTTTGATAGATCTGATATCTGACAGATCTGGTAAATTGACGTTTTTTGTTTAGTTAACGTTATTTACTTTTATATAATTTAGTTCATTTTACCTCATAACTCAGTAGAAGATCATTTATATTATCAAACAGAGTTCTACTTAGTTTTTCATATAGTGTTTCTGCTTGGACCTAAATATGGAATTAGCAATTAAAATTAAGAATGCTTGACTCCCCCTGTTCCCTTATCGCTGTTGAAAGGAAAGCTCTTTGCCAATCTAAAAGCCATTGTTTCATTTTATTTTGATCCCTATTGGATAATCTATGGAAAATTACTCAAAGTCTTGATTTATAGTTTGTATTTCAAGCTTTTTTTTTTTAAATGGGGATCGTATTATTAATGTTGATAGTCTACATATTTCATGAAAGTTTAAGCTCAACATGTTTTTACCTTGAGCACACTGAATTATTCATATGTTCACTGATCTGATTTAAAAAAGAATATAAATTAGAAAGTTTACTAGTATCAAGGACACATAATGTAGCATTTATATCATTTAAAATTGTATAGTGATATCTATATTTTGTAGTTTGTGTGTTTTTCCCCCAATTTTAAACATCTAGTCTACAGACTTTGTTTTCTTTTAATTCTAATTATCTGATGAAATTTTTCTTTGTACCAGAGAAGAAAAATGTAGAAACAAACTTTCAAGAATATAGTGAAATGATATACTGTCAAAAGAGAATTACTAAAAAGGCAATTTTTTTTGATGTTCCTATTTCATACATATTGTTCAAAGCTCTTTTTAAAGTTAAGATGGATATTTACTCTAAGGGGTACATAGGGGTGTGATGGTGTGTTTGTGTGTGTGTGTGTGTGTGTGTATTAAATATCTATGTTTTTGTTTATTTGAATTAGGAAATTAAAATTAAAACATAGTTATAGAGGGGGCAGAACCTTATCATAAACAACATGAAGATAACTTATGGACCACTGATTTACACAGCTTGGAAATTTTAGAACTCTCTTTTATAGTACGATTATATAATAGAATGTTGGCAAGTTGTTTAATCAAGCAGGTGTATGTCATGTGAGATTTACAGATATTTGCATAAAAACCAAAACTCAGTGGTGGTGTGTGCAGATAATTCAAAAAAGGGATATATTAAGGCTATTCTGAAAATGCTTGATATCAGATTTTAGATCCCATTTTAGGGCTGAAGTGAATTTGAAAGTATGCCAAGCTTTCTACTTTAGTGTAGTTTTTAAGTTTCAATAGAATCTAAACCCTACCTTATAAATTCTTTTCGAAACTTTAATAAGTGTATATGACAGAAGTAATTATCTGTTGAAATATGTGCCATTCATTTTTCCTCTAAATCAGTGAAAAAATGTTGGGCAAGGACATTTTAAAGCAAAACCATTTATACATTGTAGCATTCCTTGGGCCTTTTTTTTATTTTGCTTTTTTTTTTTTTAGTTTATTTTATTGATTATGCTGTTACAGTAGTCCCATTTTCTTTTCTCCCCTTTATCCCCCTCTGCCCTGCACCCCCCCAAATGAATATTCCCTCCACTTAGTTCATGTGGTACATATAAGTTCTTTGGCCTCTTCATTTCCTATATTATTGTTAACCTCCCCCTGTCTGTTTTGTACCTACCAATTATGCTTCTTATTCTCTGTACCTTTTCCCCCATTCTCCCCTCCCCCTCCCTGCTGATAACCCTCCATGTGATCTCCATTTCTGTAATTCTGTTCCTGATCTAGCTGTTTGCTTAGTTTGTTTTTGTTTTTTAGGTTCAGTTCATAGTTGTGAGTTTGTTGTCATTTTACTATTCATAGTTTTGATCTTCTTTTTCTTAGATAAGTCCCTTTAACATTTCATATAGTAAGGGCTTGGTGATGATGAACTCCTTTAACTTGACCTTATCTGGGAAGCACTTTATCTGCCCTTCCATTCTAAATGATAGCTTTGCTGGATAGAGTAATCTAGGTTGTAGGTCCTTGCCTTTCATGACTTAGAACACTCCTTTCCAGGTCCTTCTTGCCTGTAAGGTTTCTTTTGAGTAATCAGCTGATAGTCTTATGGGAACTCCTTTGTAGATAACTCTCTCCTTTTCTCTTGCTACTTTTTAAGATTCTCTCCTTATCTTTAATTTTGGGTAACTTAATTATGACGTATCTTGGTGTGTTCCTCCCTGGGTCTGATTTCTTTGGGACTCTCTGAGCTTCCTGGATCTCCTGGAAGTCTACTTCCATCGATATTGTTCATTATTTGTTCAAATAAGTTTTCAATTTCTTGCTTTTCCTCTTCTCCTTCAGGCACCTCTATGATTCGGATGTTGGAATGTTTAAAGTTGTCCCGGAGGTTCCTAAGCTTCTCCCCATTTTTTTTTTTGAATTCTTGTTTTCTTCATTCTGTTCTGGTTGAATGTTAATTTCTTCCTCCTTTTCCAAATTGTTAATTTGAATCCCGGTTCCCTTCCCTTTACTGTTAGTTCCCTGTATATTTTTCTTTATTTCACTTTGCATAGACTTCACTTTTTCCTCTATTTTGCGACCCTACTTAATCATTTCTGTGAGCATCCTGATTACCAGTGTTTTGAACTCTCCATCTGATAGGTTGACTATCTCCTCATCGCTTAGTTCTTTTTCTGGAGTTTTGATCTGTTCTTTCTTTTGAGCCATATTTCTTTGTCTCGACACACCTGTTACATTGTAAGTAGTGGAGCCTTAGGTACTGGCCAGGACAGGACAACCCTCCTTGCTGCATTGTGGCCCTGTGAATTGGGGAGGGGTTAGAGAGGGAACAGTGCCAATTGCTCAGCTCTTGGCTGACTTTCAGTTACTTCCCCTGCTACCCACAAGCAAATTGGGCCCCTCTGGGGAACTCTTCTGTAAGGCTGGGAGTTTTTCCTGCTGCAACCCCCACAGGTTTTTACAGCCAGAGATTATGAGGCTTTTTTCCCCCGCACTAGAACCCTGGGTTGTGCGGTCTGTCTTGCTCTCCAGTTGTTCCTCCCAGTTTAACTGTCCTCGAATTTGGGACTGCCCTGTCTGCCAGCTGCCACCTTGCCATGTGTCCTCTCCGCTCCAGCTGTCTGTTCTGTCCCTCTTACATGTCTGGATGAATATTTCTTCTTTTAACTCCTTGGTTGTTAGACTTCCATACAGTTCGATTTTCTGACAGTTCTGGTTTTTTTGTTTGTTTGTTTGTTTTTAAATTTGTTGTTGTTCTTTTGGTTGTACAAGAAAGCAAAGCATATCTGCCTATGCTTCCATGTTGGCCAAAATCCCGGGCCTTTTTCTTTAGAAGTACTTATTTTAAAATTAGTTCCTAAATAATAAGACACAACTGTAAGTATATTATCTGATCAAATGCTACATGAAAATTGGAACATTGCCAAAACACTTCTATTACTTGTACTCATTGATTATTCAATATAAGGTGCTTGGAAAATTGGATAACTACTAGGTTAAAAAGAAGATATCTATCTATTCAGTACCCAGAACTTCCAGATGGAAATAAAAATTATGGTGTAAAACATTAAAAAAATACTAGAAAAAAGACTTGAAGTAAATATTTATGGAATATTAGAATGACTCCCATTTCAAACATAGTACCAAAAGCAGAAGTCATAAAGAAAAGATTGATTTAATTATATAAAAATCTATAGAGGGAAATAAAATTTAAAAGCACACTATAAAAGACAAAAGTTTGAAGTATATATCAGACAAATGACTAATACTCTTAATGTGTAAATAAGAAAAAAAATCATAGAAAAAATGTTCATAGAAGAAATGCAAATAGCCCTCAATGTATGAATGAATCAGTTTTATTAAAGAAAGATAAACTAAAATAATGAAATATTTTCATTCGTCAAATTGGTATTTCTTAACATGTTAGCACTCAGAATATGGCAGAAATATTATAGGTAGGTCAAAAATGGACAATTTAGTAGAATGCATCCAAATTGTACCTATTCTTTGAAGCAGGATTTCTACTTTTAGGAATTTATCTCTAGGAAATAATAGGGAATGTAGACAAAGGTTCAGTTTCAACAAAGTTCATTACAGGGTGATTCGTAATGGCAAACTATTGCAAGCAATCTAATCTTTCAATAATTAAGGTGGTGAGATTTCAGTAATTTTATTATTTTTATATAAAATATATCAAAATAAGTACGGAATGATTAAAAAAACCTCAGTTAAGTCATGGTAAATACTACTAAATATTGATTTCTTTACTCTGTGTTTCCAAATTTCCTCATTGATAAATTGTGTATAATAATAGTATGTAATCATAGAGCACTGGGACAACTAAATGAGTGAATATATGAAAAGCACTTAGACTACTTTCTGACATGATGACTACTATAGTTAATAATACTGGCTGGTATATTTGAAAGTTGCTAATGTCTTAACAGTTTTCACAAGGAAAGAAAAAAATGTAATTATGTGAGGCAATGGATGTTTACTAATCCTTGTGGTAATCGTTTCATAATATTTACATGTATCAAATCATTATGTTGTATACCTTAAACTTATACAATGTTACATGTCATAGCTTACTGTGTAAACATTATATATGCATAGATACATGAATAAAAGATAAGTGGCTAATTTGGAAGAAGAAAATAATATGATTTTAAGAAATTGGCCTAGATTAAAAGTTAAGTGACCAAAGAATTACATGGTTAAAAATAAATATACTAAGTTTTTCTGGAGTTACTGTCCCTGCTATAGCTGATCTAAAACTAACTGTGATATTAAACCGTGTCTCTTTTTGTTTGTTTTGAACAGGTTGGCTCAAAATTAATCTCTTGTCACAAACTGGTATTGGCTTGTGTTATTCCCTACTTCAGAGCCATGTTTCTCTCTGAAATGGCTGAAGCCAAGCAAACAGTAATTGAGATTAGAGATTTTGATGGTGATGCAATAGAAGACCTGGTAAAGTTTGTCTATTCTTCACGGCTCACTTTGACTGTGGACAACGTCCAGCCTCTCTTATATGCAGCCTGTATTCTACAGGTTGAACTGGTGGCTAGAGCTTGTTGTGAATACATGAAATTACATTTTCATCCTTCCAACTGTTTGGCAGTAAGAGCCTTTGCAGAAAGTCACAATCGAATCGACTTAATGGACATGGCAGATCAGTATGCGTGTGAGCATTTTACTGAAGTAGTGGAGTGTGAAGACTTTGCAAGTGTGTCGCCCCAGCATCTCCATAAGCTTTTGTCCTCCAGTGATCTGAATATTGAGAATGAAAAACAGGTCTACAATGCAGCCATCAAGTGGCTTCTTGCCAATCCTCAGCATCATTCCAAGTGGTTGGATGAAACACTTGCCCAGGTAGGGACTGAAATGAGATTGTGTGTAGAAATGGGCAATACAGAAGCAAATCAGCATGTTTCATTTGTCATGAAAGGTATAAATTATCAGCTGATATAATACAATGTAAAAATTGCTTTGACTTTTAACTCTCCTGTTTACTCACTGTACTATTTAAGGATAAATCTGAATTTGTTACGTTTGAACTAGGAATACCATTCTCTGCTTTTTAAACTATATTTAAAATATCACTTTAAGATAATAGTAATAAATACTTATGCTAGTAGAAAATGGTTCCAAGGAGACTGCTCAAAATTAATTTACAACTCTTGTTATTAATGAAGTTTCTACTGAATTACTTTGCTGATGAAAGTATACTTATTCCTAATGCATACAGATTTGTTCTGGAAAGAATTACAAGATATCACTTCCCATTTTCTTCTCTCACCCAGTTTTACTTTTTAAATCTTAGAAATGTGTCTCTATTTATCATTTATGTTTACTGTCATCAGGTGTTAGCTGGATAATAAGTAGGCCTTAAAATTACTTCGAAAACAAATTTTTCAGCAAAAAAAACGTTTCATTATCTTGCAGCTGTATTTTCTTATTGTGTGTATGCATGCTTTTGACTCAAAATAGTAACCAGGTTTGATAATCTCTTTATCTGCTAGAAAATCAATGCTTCTTTAAGAGAGGAATGGTGAGTGCTTCTACTAAATGAGGGGATGCATCCTTGAGTTAGTATATTCCACATTTTGCTGTGTATAATCTGCATACACTTTTTTTTGGCCCAAACTTTCAGGAAAAAAAAAATCTTTCGTTTTAATTTTTTAATTCAGTTTCTTTTTTATTTATATTTAGATACTTGTGTTTTTTTTTTGTATTATAATGGAATTTTAGCATTTACCTTTGAACATATTATGGTACAAGAAATTCTATGTAACAAATAATTACAAAACACAAGAACAGATATAAGGTATGAGAAATTTTATGTATGGATAACAAATTTATGAAATTTACCATATCATAGAAGACTGAGAACTCGTCACTGTCAAAATCAGAGATATCATCTTCTTCAGTTTCTACATTACCGGTGTCTCCTGAGGAGTCACTTTCCTCATCCCTGTAAATTTCACCGTCCTCAGTTCCATCCATAGCATTGCTGATGCCACATTTTTTAAAAATTTCACAACCACTTCCTTCTCGACACCATTCCATGATCTTAGGATCCAATAACAAACCTGGGCAATGGATACTTTCTTGATCCTGCCTGTAGATGTTAAATCATTATCGGCTGACGGCATCCACTATGTCCACTCTTTCTTCATTAGGGCCTTAAAGGGCTTGTTTACTGACACATCAAGAGATTGCAGTTGGCTGGTTAGCCTACCAGGTATCACAGCAAGTTGGGTTTTCATGCCTGCTGCAATTGCTTTTGCACTTTGTGTAACATGGGCTTTGAAGAGATCAAAAACAAGTGAAGCTGGTTTTTTAAGTAACCCACCAGGCCTTCGTGACCAAACTTTGTTAAACCAGATTTCCATGCCTTCTTCATTCATCCTTCCTTTTTCATGCATGTGAACAGTAACTCCACTTGGAATCTTTTCTTTTGGAAACATTTTTCTTTAAAAATGATCATAGGCAGTAGCTTTGCCCCATCGGCACAACAGGCTAGGACAACAGTGAAATGTATTTTCTTATGACCACTAGTTTTAACAGCCATGGTCTTTGTTCCTTTGATGTCCACAGTTCTGTTGGATAGCACATCAAATGTGAGTGGGACCTCATCCATATTGGCAGTTTGGGACAGCTCAAAGTTGTAAGTCTTTCAAAGATTGATAATATAAGAATGAAATTCCAAAAGTTGATTCTCATAGGCTGCTGGAAGTTTTGGGGCAAGTTTCTTTCATGTCCTCAGGCTGAAACCTTCTAAAGCACCATTTAGGCGTCCCTGAGACATCATCAATGTGTTTTTCTCGTGCAATCCTTTTACATTCTTCTTGCGTCATCTTGGTTGAAACAGAGATCCCAGTTTGATGCTGCTCCTGAATCCAGGTCTTCACCTCCTGCTCCTTCTCCAGCCCCTATGGAGTCTTCCCTCGTATTGCATTCTTCTGTCTGGGCATCTGAAGAAGCTCTTCTTCCTGTTGCCTCCACAATCCACTGACACGAGCTGTGGGAGGAGGTCCAAAGTGTCTCTCAGCAGCTCTGTTGCCATGCTTTTTAGCATATTTGATCACTTTTAGCTTAAAGCTTGCAGTGTGCAAAAACTGTTTCAACAGTTTCTAAGGGATTTTCCAATAATTTCTCCTGTCTCAAGTGTACGAAGGTAAATGTCGTGCTTTCACGCTATGGTAGTAAAGTTGACATCACCCAACTTACCAAGTGGATAACAATTGGGCATCATCTGTCTTACTCTGTGGATAACAATGCATTGCTCTTTGTTTCATTTCATTGAATTGTTGGCTGAAACTGCTTTTGTTGCAAGTTTGTCATAAGTTCAACAAAACCAATTATTGATTCCCTGGTATTATTTTGCGTAGGGATACCGTTATTTCTTTCTAGAATTACACTTTTAATACATAAGTAAAAGAATTAAAAACATTTATATAGATACGGAATTAGTACTATCCATGTATGATGTGCATCCTTATTTTTCCTCAAAAATGTGGGTAAGAAAGTGTGCGTTATACGTGGCAAAATATGGTAACTTTCTAAGGTAATTGATTTAAAGAAAACAAGATCTATTTGTTTCAGACCTGAATTTTTGTGTATTTAACTAACAGATCACATTTTCATATGCTAAATCTTAGCTTTAAGGGGCAAAATAACAAAGAACAGCAATTTGGTTTTGATTGTGCCTTGTCTTTAGCAGCAAGGGGCCTTCTAATTATGAATGTCATTTTGGAAGTAAGAAACCTGAATGAAGACAATTGAATTACTTTATTTAGCCTACTTAAATCTGCATTTAAATGGGGAGGATATATTTAGCATATAATCTGGTTTCATTCGTGCAGACCCACTGGAAATTGCTTTAGAACTTGGCACAATGTGCTTTAAGTCTTTATGAAGTAAATGAGTTTTAAAAAGGTAATATACTGAAGTAGGCCCTGGCCAGGTAGCTCAGTTGGTGAAAGCGTTGTCCCAATACCCTAACGTTGTGGGATTGATCCTGGGTCAGGGCACATACAGGAGTCACCTGATGAATATTTATACGGGTGGAACAATAAATCGACGTCTCTCTCTCTCTTTCCCTTCCTCTGTCTCTCTAAAGTCAGTTTTAAAAAGAATATAATGTACTGCAGTGAAAGTAAAGAATGAGAGATCTAGTTACAACTTAAACTTATATCCACAACTATTCATGATTTTAGGTTCGTTTGCCGCTGTTGCCAGTTGATTTTCTTATGGGTGTTGTGGCAAAAGAACAGATTGTCAAGCAAAATCTAAAATGCAGAGATTTATTGGATGAAGCAAGAAATTACCACCTTCACTTGAGTAGCAGAGCAATACCTGACTTTGAATACTCTGTTCGGACTATACCAAGGAAGCATACTGCTGGTAATTAAATTACTCATTTATCAACTCTGTTGGAAGGATCTTTATTGTATTTGAGGGTTGGTTATGTATGCCCAGACTTAATTGTATGATTAATACCAGATTGCCTTAGAGTAATAATTGGCAAATAAAGTTATTTTTGAATTGTTTTTTCAAATGTTAATTAACTGCATCTTGGAAATAGTAATGGGGATTGGGAAACACTGGATAGTTGATGACTTTTTAAATTAAATTTATTGAGGTGACATTGGTTAATAGGATCATAGGTTTCACATATACATTTCCATGATACCTGATCTGTATATTGCATCATGTGTCTACTACCGAAAGTCAAATTGTCCTCTGTCACCCTATACTTGGCCACCCTTTATGCGCCCCACCACCTCACGCCCTTCCCCGTGGCAGCCATCACACTGTTGCCTGTATTGATGACTTTCAGTTTTATATCGCAGATATGAATGAAGTCATTATGGTTCTTAGCTTTTTCTGACTGACTTAGTTCACTTAACATGATATTCTCCTGGTACACTCATTTATAGCAAATGGCACTATTTCATCTTTTCTTATGGCTGAGTAGTATTCCATTGTATATATGTATCACATCTTTATCCAGCCCTCTGTTGAATGACACCTTGGTTGTCTCCATGTCTTGGCCACCGCAAATAATGCTGCAATGAACATAGAAGTGCATATATCTTTACAAATAAATTTTTTCAAGTTTCTTGGGCAGATACCCAGGAGAGGAACTGCCAGACTGTTTTCCTTAATGGTTGCATCAGTTTATGTTCCCACCAGTAATAAATGAAGGTTTTCTTTTCTCTACAACCTCTCCAAAATTTATCACATCTCTTGTTTATAATAGCCATTCTGACAGGTGTGAGGTGTTATCTCACAGCTTTTATTTGTATTTCCCCAATAGCTAGTGAAGTTGAACATCTTTTCAGGTATCTGTTGGCCATTTGTATATCTTCTTGGGAGAAGTGTCTGTTCAGGTCGTCTGCCCATTTTTTAATTGGATTGTTTGGTATAGAGTTGTATGAGTTCTTTATATATTTTGGATATTAACTCCTTGCTGGAGCTGTTGTTTGCAAATACCATCTCCCATTTGGTTGGTTGCCCTTTTGTTTTGTTGGTGGTTTCTTTTGCTGTGCTGAGCTTTTTAGCTTGATATAGTCCCATTCATTTATTTTTGTCTTTAATTCCCTAGCCTTTGAAGTCAAATTCATAAAATGTTCTCTATGACCAAGGTCCATAAGTTTAGTACCTACGTTTTCTTCTATGTAATTTATTGTTTCAGATTTTATATTTAGGTCTTTGATCCATTTTGAATGAATTTTTATACATGGGAACAAAATGTAGTCTAGTTTCATACTTTTGCATGTGGCTTTCCAATTTTCCAAGAACTATTTATTGAAGAGGCTTATTGGTCAAAAATTATTTGCCCATATACCTGTGGTTTTATTTCTGGGCTCTCAATTTTGTTCCATTGGTCTGTGTGTCTGTTTTTCTGCCAACACTGCTGTTATGATTATCACAGCTCTGTAGTATAATTTGAAGTCAGGTAGTATGATACTTCCAGCTTCATTTCTTTCTTTTTCAGGATTGTTTGACTATTTGGGGTCTTTTGTGGTTCCATGCAAATCTGATGGGTTTCGTTGTATTCCTTTAAAAAAATGACTTTGAAATTTTCATGGGGATTACATTAAACTCTATATTGCTTTGGGTAATAATGTTTATTTTAAGTGTGTTGATTCCTTCAATCCTTGAACATGGAATATCTTTCCATTTTATTGTGTCTTTTTCAATCCCTCTTAATAATGCTTTGTAGTTTATAGTATATAGGTCCTTCATGTCCTTTGTTAAATTTATTTTTAGGTATTTTATTCTTTTGGTTGCAATTGAAAAGTTAATTTTTTCCTTTATTTTTCATTTTTAATATATAGGAAGGCTATGGATTATTGTATAATGATTTTGTGTCCTGCAACTTTACTGTATTCGTTTATTGTTTCTGATAGTTTTTTGGTGGGTCTTTAGGATCGTTCTATGTAGAGAATCATGTCATCTGCAAAAAGTAACAGTTTTACTTCTTCATTCTCAGTTTGGATGACTTTTAGCCTTTTCTTTTTCTTGCCTGATGGCTCTGGCTAGGATCCAGAACTATGGTGAATAAGAGTGATGAGAGTGGGCATCCTTTTCTTGATCTTAGAAGAAAATTTTCAGTTTTTTACCACTGAGTAGGAAGTGGGCTGATGATTTCTCATAGATTACCTTTATTAAGTTAAGGTACTTTCTTTCTCTACCTATTTTATTGAGTGTTTTAATCATAAATGGATGTTGTATCTTTTCAAATGATTTTTCTGCATTTATTGATAAGATTATGTGATTTTTATCATTTGTTAATGTGGTATATTATTGAGTTGGCCAAAAGGACAGATTTTTCATTTTCACCAATAAGTTTACTGATTTGGATATTTGAGTATGTTGGCCATCTCCCACATTTCTCCTGCATGGTATAACGTTGATTGTTCTCAGTTTAATTGCTATCTACCCGACCATGACACATCTCCAGCACAAAACTTCGCAAATCATTTTTGACACGTTTGATCAGTCATAGCACCTTCTCCATGCCCTGCACAAACCTTTTTTTGTGTTCAGTTGTGTTTTTACCTTTCTTGAAATAATAAAGCATTGTATGACGAAAATGTTGCATATTTTCTTCCATCATCAGTATTTAAATGGCTACACAAAAATTCACCAATTTTGTTGTTTTAAAAAAAATGCACACTGATGTGATAGCTATCACAATACAGTCTAACAAAATCGTTTCAAATAAAGTTAAATACTGCTAAGCGCTACTACAGCCATTTTATGGAAAAAACCAAATTTTTTGGCCCACCCAATACATTGATCAACTTGTATATATTGAATTATCCTTGTGCCTTTGGAATGAACCTCTCTTGATTGTGGTGAACTACTTTCTAAACGTATTGTTGTATTTGACTTGCTAGTATTTTGTTTAGGATTTTTGCATCTGTATTCATCAAAGATATTGGTCTGTAGTTTTATTTTTTTGTGTGATCTTTGCCAAGTGTTGGTGTCAGGATTATGTTGGCCTTTATAAAAGATGACTGGAAGTATTGCCTCTTCTTCAATTATTTGGAAGAGTTTGAGAAAGATAGGTATCAAATCTTTTGAGTGTTTGGTAGAATTCACTAGTGAAGCCATCTGGTCGTGGACTTTTACTTTTGATGGTTATTTCAGTTTCTTCATTGTTGATTGGTCTATTTAGATTTTCCAGTTCTTGATTCAGTCCAGGAAGGTCATATGTTTGTGGGACCTTATTCATTTCTTCTAGGTTATTGTATTTGGCGGCATATAATCTTTCATAATATTCTAGTATGATCCTTTGTATATCTGTAATATTTGTGGTAATTTCTTGCATTTCTGATTTTGTTTATATGAGTCTTTTCTCTTTTGTCCTTAGTGAATCTAGCCAGGGATTTGTCAATTTTATTAATCTTTTCAAAGAGCCAGTTCTTTGTATTAATTTTTTATATAGTCTTTTTGTCCTCTATTTTATTCAATTCTGTTCTAATTTTTACTTCCTTTCTCCTGCTGACTTTGGATTGCTTCCGTTCTTCTTTTCCCAGTTCTTTAAGATGTAATATTAGGTTGCTTACTTGTGATTTCTTTGTTTCTTGAGCTAGACCTGTAATGATATGAATTTCTGTCTATTACTGTTTTCACATCCCAGAAGTTTTGCTGTATTGTATTGTCATTCTGATTTGTCTCTCTACATCTTTTAATCTCACCTTTTATTTCTTCTTTGACCCAGTCATTTTTTAGTAATATGTTATTTAATCTCCATGTATTTATGGATTTCTTTACTTCTTTTTTGCCATTGATTTCTAATTTCAAAGCACTGTGGTCAGAGAAAATGCTTGGTATAATTTTAATCTTAATTGAATTCTGTTTAGGCTAGTTGAGGTTAGTTTTGTGACCCAACATTTGGCCCATCCTTTAGACTGTTCCACGTGCCCTGGAGAAGAATGTATAATCTGATGTTCTGATGCAAGGCTCTGTAAATGTCAATTGTGTCCATTGTTATAATTTCTCATTTAAGGCTGATATTTTTATTGATTTTATGTTTGAATGATCTATCTAGAGCTGTCAGTGGAGTATTAAGTTCCCCAACTATGACTGTGTTTTGTCAGTTTCTCCCTTTTGTTCTGTTAGTCGTCGCTTTATATATTTTGGTGCTCTCTGAGTGCATATATATTAAGAAGTGTTATGTCTTTTTTGATGTAGTATCCCCTCTATCATTATAAAATGTCCATCTTTGTTTCTTGTTACCTTTAAATCTATTTTGTCAAATATAAGTATGGCTACACCTGCTTTTCTGTGGATGTTGTTTGTCTGGAGAATCATTTTTTACCCTTTCCCTTTGACTCTAACTTTGTCTTTGCAGCTTATATGTGTCTCCTGAGGCAGCATATGGTCGAGTTTTGTGTTTTGATCCAGTCTGCTACTCTGCCTCTTTATTGGTTCATTCAGTCCATTTACATTTATGGTAATTTTTTATATATGAGGATTTATTATAGCCATTTTATCTTTGTGTTCTGGTAGCTCTGTGTCTCCATTGGTTCTTTTCCTTTGTGTTTCTGTCTATTGTTTTTGTTGGTGGTATTTCATATTTCTTTCCTGTGTGTCCTCTTTTTATCAACAGCTCTTTGTCTCAGTTTTGGGTTTTTGTGTGTGGTTACCATTAGGTTTATGAAAAAGAAAGTTTCATATATACAGTAGTCCTTTTTCTTATGAATGCATCTGATCTCCATCCTTGTTTGCAAATTCAGAATTTTACCCACTCCTCTCCTATGTTTTTGTTGTCACAAACTATTTCTGTTTATGCTGTAACTTTGTCGGTCATCTTACGCACTGTTTTGTGACCTTTTGTTCTTTGTTTCAGGTAGAATAACCCATTTGAGTATTTTCTGTAATGGAGA